TAAAAAAATATATTATTAAAATTTTATATAAATATAATATATAAAATTTATTTATAAATATATATAGTCTCATTATATTATTTTCTTCTGTACTACAGCACATGGTACTACTTGTTTTTCATTTTTTTTATTGACAGAAAATGACAATGAGAGGTTTCAAATTTACTGCACCGAAAATATTGAAAGTATTTTCCTAAGACAAACAATTTAGGCGATGAGGCTTCAAAAGTGACAACGAAAATAAGCTCGAGGGAGTCTATAAATCTGAGTTAAACTCGGGTTTTGAAGACACCAAACTCATAAGTATTACATGTAAACCATTAGAGTGATGTTTATTTCTAAAACATTGAAAGACTGATCAATGGGACAAAAAAAAAAAAAATCTAACTTTGATTTTGTTCTTTTTATTAAGATTTATGTACTTTCAAATTTTTTTTATTTTAGTTAACTTGGTTTTGCTCACATGAATTCATCTAGATGAATTTATTTTTTTAATGTTCATATAGATTAGTTTATTATTTTATTATAATACAAGAATAGTGCAATGTGTTAAGTTAAAAAAAAATAGATTTTTAACTTCAAAAATACAATATTCTAATGAATATTGTCAAAAATTAATCATTATATTTAGTTTTTTTTATTTATGTTGATTACAGATATAATTTTTAAATTGATTGAATATATATATATATATATATCTAGTTCACTAATTGTAAAAAATTTATCATTGTTAAATATATAGTAAAAAATACAAATTTTTTAATCAAATGTTAAATTAACTTGAAAGTTGACCTTCCTTATTTATATTAATAAATTATTAAATCTAATGATTGGTTTTTAAAAAATATTTATTAAAAGATAATGCTTTTGAAATTGAAACTCTAATTTCTTTAAAAAAAAATTGAGTATAATATACATTTTTCGCATTATATATTATTGTTCTATTATTTTTTATGTTCATATAAATGATTTTAATTAGTAATGGTATGTTTGAGTTGAGATGAATAAAAGGGAGAAGAAGGAATAAGTGGAAAATTATATCATTTTATTTCTCTCATTTTCTCTCATTTTAATAACTAAATAAAGTATTAAAAAAAAGAGAAATTTTTTTTTTCTTCCTTTTAATTTTTTTATAACTAAATAAAAATATATTTATAAAGACGTATTTCCCCTCTCATTTCCTCTCCTCTCAAACCAAATATACTATAATAAAAATTCTGATGATACATAGGATCATGTAATCCCTTTATCAATACTTTATAGTTAAGTAGTTTGGGTCTCAAATACTATCTGGGCATTAACTATTCTTAACAAGAGCCGTTGTTTGGTTGGACGAACTAGGAAACATGAAACGGTAGGTGTTTTGTTTTGTCTTTTTTTTTTTTTCCGTTCTAATTCTCTTGCTTTGCTCTTATATCACATATAAGTATAAAACCAATTTTAAAAAACCACGCAATCTCTTGTACTCTGTTTACTCGTTGAGGACAATTGGTATCTGGTACTAGTGTTTCGACCTAAGCCGGCTCCCTTATATAGAAAAAGACAACTTTTGGATAATTTTTGCTATTTCTTTCTGTTAGAGGTAAGGTTATTTTATAGATAATGCACTACTTTTATCCCAAAGTAATAATATTATCATTCGTACGTAATTTTTATGATTTTGTTAAGAAGAAATGTACAGTTTCATGGCAAAAAAGTGATTTATGCATTAGCTATTTTCAGCCTATGTTTTTTACCAGTGAAATTATGTTAAATGAACCTTAAGAAAAGTAGTTACAGATAAGAATATGATTTTTTTTATTGTTTTATTTAAAAATATAAATTTTATTAGTTTTTAAATAAGATAATAAATTTTAATTTTTTATTTAAAGATGTTAAATTTGTATTTTTTATTTAATGATATCAATTTTATATATTTTTTATTTAATAATTAATTGAATGATTAAAAGAACTATTGACACATTAACATCACTGTTCAATTAATCTTTAAATAAAAAATGTAAAATTAATATTTTTAAATAAAAAAACTAAAAGTTTACTATCTTACTTAAAAAAACAATAAAATTTACATCATTAAATAAAAAAATGATAAAAATTTATTTTCTTATATACATCTTTTCTCAATTAACCTTAAAAAAAAAAAATTACAGCAAAACATGCTAATTTTGTTCAAGAAGCTTTAGTCTAAGTAGTCTTTAGTTTAAAGCTAACATCCCTATTGATCTATAAATAGATAATTAGAGGCAAATTTGTATTGTTGCTTGAAGATTCGAAAGGAAAAAAAAAATTATTTAAAGGCATGGGGCATGCTAGTGGTAGTGGACCAGTGGCACTAAATTGAAAGAACAAGCAATTGTGTCCGAGCATGTTTGCGTGACTTGGTTATATTATTTCTCAATATTATACTACCACATTACTATCTTAGAACAATGTCAATCTGCTAAAAAATCTTCTCGCAAATTTCAAGTAGATATTCACTTATTATTGGGTATTTTCTAAAATTGATATTCAAACACCTTAACAACCAAAATTCTTAAGAGTCTACATTTTTATTTATATATTTATATTTTTAAAAAAATATTATGTGATTTAAATTATTAAAAAATAAAAAATTTTAATTAAATAATTCATATTTTATAATTTCCATCTTTTGCAGCTAGAGTGTTTTACGAAGTTATGTGAAGTAAAAACTTGATTTGTTGTCCTTATAAATAAAATAAAAATATATATGGGGCAATTTTGCCATTTGTGACCACTTTTAATTTTCAAAGTTTCAACGCAACAATGATTGGAACAAACGTGCCATTTCAGGTCAGGTGAATGGCGAAAATCCCCATATTTCCCAAAACTCAATTGGAGACATCATGTTTTACATTACTTTGGTGTAGAAAAATAAATAATATACACACATGAGAGAGAAAGTGTTGCAGGGTCCTCTCTATATATGAAAAGGAAGATACAATTCACACCACTGCTTCTGCCTTACATTACGGACCCTCTCCCCTCCTTTCCACCGGAGAGGAAATCCAATCCTACAGAAACCCAAATTCAGCACACCACGATTGCCTTCCTCTAGTTTCTCTTTGCCCATTTGTTTCTTCCTTTTCCCCCCTCCCTCTCCTTCCCCTTCGGAATTTCTGCCCTCCTCCCGTCCATGTCGTTGGGTGGTCCAGGCAACCAGCCAAGCGGCAGTCCCAGAAAAGTGGGGCCCACCGCCACCGCTAGACGACGGGTGGAGACTGATAACAGACCTTTCAATTCTAATTCGAACGATGAAGAAGACAATCCCAACGGTTATACTCCCACCTCCGGGTCCCACCACCACACTCACCACCATCACCATCCAGTGATTAGGTACCTGTTGATTCGCAGGAAGTGGGTTCCGGAGACGCGGGTGATTTGCATAGAGGATGCGTATCTAAAGACGGTGGCGATTGCGCGGAGCTTGAGATCTGGGAGGCACTTGGGTCGGAAGATAATGGGGGTGCTCATGTTCATGGTCGTTGTTTCGCTGTTTCTGAAAGTGTCGTTTCTAGGAAGTCCAGCGGAAGAGGTGAAGGAAACTGGAAGGAGAGAGAATGGGCTCCTGAAATTGCAGACGTTCAAAGAGGACGGTGCCATGGCTCAACGCGCTGTGACAGAGGCACAGACAGAAACCGATACTGATCTGCACTCCATGCCCACACGCGTCTTGGAGAAGGTAGATGTAAGTGTTTTCCATTGCTCCAATTAACACCCATCAATAAATTATCTTTCTTGATCACCTTCTGTTTGGTTGCCCAGAAAACTGAGGAAAACGGAAGAAAATTCTAAAAACTTCATTTTACCTTTTCTTATTTTTTTAATCAAACCTTTTATCTCTAACTTTAAAAAATAAAAAGCAATACGCATTGATCTTGCATTCATACACTTTTAAAAAGGTTTAAAAAAAAAGGCAATGAATTAAATATAAACAAGGGAATTATGCTGATAGAAAAAAAAAAAGAAAAAAAGAAAAAAAGAAAAAAGAAATTATATTAAGTCCGCTTAATATATCTTAATTTTTTTCCTAATTATATATTGTTTACTTTTTGAATTATGATATTAGTTTTATTTTAATATTGTTCCATTATTTTCAACACGTAATGTACTTTGTAATTTTGATAATTTGTTTGACCTGGAAAAGGGTTGAATTTTGTTAGGCAGTGATTGTGACCCTGCAATTCCCCTGTTTTGTATTTTTGGCATTCCATGTTGCAATAACATTCTTATCGTTTTTTCCCCTTTTTTTTACCTGTTTATAGATTCCAGAAATTTGGAGGAAACCCAACAGTGACAATTATTATCAATGTGTATCTCGACCGAGAAATCTGATGAGTATGTCCTGTTTCATTGCTCAACTTGTTCAGGACATCTGCAGCTAAGGAATTTTGTATGAGATTGTTTCTAATTGAAGCTTTACTTCAGGGGCTAAGAAAACGAATGGATATATTCTTGTTCATGCCAATGGTGGATTGAATCAAATGAGAACAGGAGTAAGTTTTCATTTCTTGCTCGTGTAGAAAAATTATATCTTTGTGATTGTTTTTTTTTTTTTTTTTGTGAAGCTAATTTTTTTAGCATAATTGACATACAGATATGTGATATGGTTGCTGTGGCCAAGATAATGAATGCCACTCTTGTTCTTCCTTACCTAGATCATGAGTCGTTTTGGACAGATCCAAGGTATAATTCCAAGTCATTCTAGTTGCTGGATGTTGGTTGAACTAGTTTGATTTATTAGCTTAATCAGATCATTTTCAAAAGGTGATGAAGTTTCTTGGTAACTTTCACAGTGACTTTAAAGACATTTTTGATTGGAGGCACTTCATGAATGTTTTGAAAGAAGATATTGAGATTGTTGAGTATGTACCCCCCAAGTATGCAGCGGTGAAGCCACTTCTCAAGGCCCCTGTTTCCTGGTCAAAGGTTAGGAAATGACATACATTTTATTTTGTGAATGTCAGACAGTGTGTTTGAATTCATTTCTTTGTTACTGGAATGGTATCTTAGATGCTTCATTTGCAGGCTAGTTATTATAGAAAGGAGATGCTTCCATTGCTAAAGAAGCATAAGGTGATTAAGTTTACGCACACTGATTCACGACTTGCCAACAATGGACTTGCAGCCTCCATCCAAAGGCTTAGGTGCCGTGCCAATTATGAAGCACTCAGATATACAAAAGAGATTGAGGACCTTGGAAAGATTTTAGTTGATAGACTTAGGAGCAATAATGAGCCATATATTGCTTTACACCTAAGGTAACCATTATAACTTGCCATCTTGACCTTTACCTTGTTTATGCAGTTTCTGAGCAGAATAAATCGGTTCTGATTGCAGATATGAGAAGGATATGCTTGCATTCACAGGCTGTAACCATAACCTCACTGCATTGGAGGCTGAGGAACTTAGGGTTATGAGGTACAAAACCCAGCATTGGAAAGAGAAGGAAATAGACAGCAAAGAAAGGCGACTTCAGGGGGGTTGTCCAATGTCCCCTAGAGAAGCTGCATTGTTCCTCAAGGCCATGGGTTACCCTTCCACAACACCTATCTACATAGTTGCAGGGAAGATTTATGGCAGCAATAGCATGGCAGCCTTTCGTGCAGAGTACCCTAATGTATTCTCCCATTCTGATCTAGCAACTGAAGAGGAGTTAGAGCCCTTTAAGCCATACCAAAATCAATTGGCTGCCTTGGATTACATTGTGGCACTTGAAAGTGATGTCTTTGTTTATACATATGATGGGAATATGGCAAAGGCAGTGCAGGGGCACAGAAGGTTTGAAGGATTCAGGAAGAGCATTAATCCTGACAGGTTTGTAACCATATATAGTTGACTAATTGATTCCTAAGAAATTTGCTTATGATTCAAACTTGAAAGTTGGGACTTGGGACATTATGAGTGTACAATTAACATGATGTCTTTTTTTCTCAGGCAAAATATTGTTAGACTCATCGATCAGCTAGATGAAGGTATGATATCAAGGGAAGAGTTCTCATCAGAGATTAAGAGATTGCACTCAGAAAGGCTTGGAGCACCACATCTTAGACAGCCAGGAGAGTCACGGAGGCTGGAGGAGAACTTTTATGGAAACCCTCTTCCCGGATGTATTTGTAACAGGTCTCAGGAGAAAATCAGTAGCCTGAAATATGACCAGAGACTGAGTTTAAGGGATTCAGTCAAAAGATAGGGGGTCTAGTTAGTGAAGAAATTTGTCCTTGGTTCATACACAATACCCTTCACAGGGGTGGCTGATACTGGGTTCTCGAATTACACAATTTCTTCCTACTTTGGGGACTAGTAGTAGCCTCACCTTCAGCAAGGGGGAGAGGGGGCATCTTCACAGTTTTGTTAAGGGGGTCTTACAAACAACTCGGAGAAGCAGAGAGGATTTTTTTTTTTTTTTCCTGGTGCAAATCGGGATATACAACAGATTATACGGGCAGAGAAATACTTGTTACTTTGGAATCACAATATTTCATTTATTCATTATTCTTTTCTTAATTTAGTATTCAAAATATTGTTGCTAGATTCCACACAATATGAAAATGGGTGTAATTCCGTGTATAGTTGTTCATAACGGAATTTGTTTGCCACATGTTCTGCATTCAGATTCTTAAGCAGTTGCTGTTGATATTCCACTACCATCTATGTTTGGACCTTCCAGGCAGCCCTTTTTCCAATATAAATTCTAATCTTTGCTCATAATTTTCCCTGAGATTTCCTTCCTCGGCAACAGGGTTTTGGAGATTCATTGGCTCCGTTGCTGTTATCCCCATTAATGGATGCACTTGGTGAGGCTACAGAAAAAATTGGGGACTTTTGAAGATCTTCGTAAAGGGTCTTTCCCACTTCAAATTTTCAGCTATTTAGTTCCCATATTTCAGGAGGAGCGAGTGAGAAAGGAAAAGGAGATGAAAATGACGCTCTCTGGAGTGTGGTAATGCCGCCTATTATTCTTATTAAGTCCATTTAATTATATTTAATTTAATTATTAAAAATAATTAATAATTTTTTTGAACATAATTAATAATTAATATTTATTATAAAATAAAGTAATAATTAATATTTATTATAAAATAAAGTAAAATCAAATATTAATTAAACTAAACAATTTTTAGATAGTCTTGACAAAATAATAACCACACCCATAATGGTCCTTTCACTTACACATTATTCATCTTCTTCTCCAGAGGCTTTTCACATTTTATCGGGTCCTATTTTATGGACTCAAGTCGGGTCAAGCCTTAAAGGGTTATCAGAGATCAATCCAACGGCTATCAGTTAGCCATGTGTGTAATCAAGGCGACATCACCCGTTAGATTAAAAAGTAAAAGGTGGGACATTTCCCTGACCTCTTATTGCTTCTTCTCTTTCCTTAACGGAGTTTTCACTGGGTTCCTGTTTCTATTCTTATAATGACGGCAAAGGTTTAACCTTTTGAATCAAATCTCCAATCAAACAGGAAAGAGTTCTTATTTAAGGCAAATTCTTTCAGGGATTTTGTAAAAGGTAAGAGTGCCCAGTTCCCATCTTTTGTTTTGTGAGTTGAAGCTTCAACTTATTATCTGTATGCTGCATAGATGTGTTGAATCAAAAGCTTCATTTTTTTTAGATGGATTGCAAATGGCAGAACTTGTTGAAGATTTGCTTTTAGGGCTACTGATCTTTTGGCCGAATTGTAGAATCCCAGTGGCCGTTTTACAGTTGTCTATTTAGGTCTTTTGGTTCCTGGGAAATTTTTTTTTTTCTGAACTTAATAGTATTCTATCTTGGATTTTGAACTATGATGCAGTTCTAATGGAAGTTGGGTTTCTTTGTAAACGTCAGATGAGTCATTTCGTGAGGAGGAACTTTTGGATGAAAAATTGTAGCTTAATGAAATAACTTGTATCATTGTTAGGGAAAACGGAAAGGAAAAATCAAAAACTAAAAACACAATGACGGCCAAAGACAAAAAAACTAAAAAAACTAAAAGGCAATATCATATATAGCCTAAAAAGGTAACTTAGTAATGCTTAAGCTGGATCTGTGTTTCTTCTGCTTGATTGTGACTTCCCTTGGTACAAACTCTGGTAAAGTGGAGAAGAGATACGGTGAATTTCCCCTTTTGGGTTGCTACATGAATAAGACCGCAATCTTAATACAAACTTACCACTTCAGTTCTGATGCTGGTATTTTGAGTAGAATGAATATTGGATTTTAAGCTGTTTCTCAATGCCTCTATGTATCCAGAGTCAATGGTTTTTCCTTGTTCCTCTTAGTTCACTAATTATGGGAGTTGTTTATGGTTGATAGTTTATTTTCTCTTCTGAAGATATCTCAAATCACCCTAGCCAAGTATTGTAAATGTCCTTTGCTTGTGTTGTTATGATAAATTGGGACAAAGACATTGAGTTAGTTTGCTATTTGCTAGAATAATGTGGAAAATAACAGAATATTCACTTGGTTGCCTAGGATAACAGTATACCATGGTATGTTTTGGGGATCTTAGTGCCAATGCTGCAGGCTAAATAAGAGGGGACAAACTAAGTTTTGCCCCCTTTTATTTAAGGTTGGACATTTTGCTCCTTCATGCAGCTTCCATTGTGCATCAAATTCCTTTTATGAATTTTTTTGAGTCAAATACATATACTAAATTCTAGGCAAATAGCTTTATTTCATTATTGTTTGTGCTGTAGTTAGCACTCATGCTCTTATGATGCACTTGAGATGACAGTTTGGAGTGTTCTTTCTTGAAGAGTTAAGCATGCTTGAGTGCTAGGTGTGTGTTATTGTCTAGAGATACATACCCCCTTTTTTTTTAATCTTCTGTCAGACTATATGTACCCTGCGTCAATAGCATACAAGTTATAATTCCTGAATTTGAGGTTTTCTCTAATGCAGGAAATGGGCTTCTGGGTTTTGCTGGAAGGCCTTCTTCTCTTTGCCAATGCACTGGCAATACTAAATGAGGACAGGTTTCTTGCTCCAAGGGGATGGACCATGGTAGAAGTTCAAGGAAGTGCAAGGAAAACACTCAAGGCACAAATTGTCGGGTTCATACATGCATGTCAGTACATGAGGCTTCTACTCATCCCTCTCAATATCATCACTATCATGGTGAAGCTGTTGTCTGGGTGAAATCAGATGGATGAGAGATTCATGGCTTACAACATTTATTAATCCTTGCACATTATGGTATGTTATGGAACCTAAGACAACCATATTCCCATGAAGTTCTGTGTTTATCATGTACGATACTCAGGTTGGTCAGATGCAAATGTGTTTATCATGGCTAATTGCTAATGGTAGTGGCCCTGTTCAGGCAAAGTTTGGGGCATTTGAGCATTATTGCATTAATGTACAGTTATTCATGTTTATTTTGGTACTTCTGAAAATTTTATGAGATTCCGGTTATTTTCAATGGCTAATTCATTCATACTCCAGGTTCTATTGTACTAATCCTTATCCATCTGGCTGTTTAAGAATGAAATGCTGAACTAGTAGGCAGTAGCTTCATGATTTTTTATGTCATCAAAACTCCTTAAGGACCAAGGAGCTGTGTTAAAACAGAACAGCAATTGACATGTATCAGTTCTTTTTGGGTTATGGATCTAGAAAACTGAAAAGAGCTGTAGAAATAGGAACTGTTAAATATTAGGAAAACTACATGTACTTATTTCTACTAACAATGCATTACAGTGATGATTGCCAGAACAGAACAGCAACAAGGCATGGAAAGACAAACATGCCACTTTTAGTTTTTCACTCAACTGGGATCATAACCTCATTAGTCCTGAAAGGGGGCAAAGTCCATGGTGGATTATACCTAGCCAACAAGAAATCTCCAATCACCTTGTGCCCATCTCTTTCCAAGCTTTTCTTGAGCTTCTCCACCTTATCCGCCACCACCTCCTCCGTTGCCACTCCCCCAAAAGTCACCACCCCGTACTTCCTTTCCCCCTCTTCCCGTATCACCACCCTCTCATCCACCGGCTTAGGCGCCTCCTCAGCCTTCTTGTACTTGGCCGGCAACAAGAACTGCATAGTCACCATACTCTTATCCCCTTTGGTGACCACAGGAGCCGTCATGGCAATCTTTTCGCTTTCGTCTCCGGGTGATTTAGTAATCACTGGAGCTGTCATTGCAATCTTCTCAGGCTTAGCATTCTGTGGATTGCCTAAGGCACCTATGTAATTGGCCAAGACCATAAAGCCACCGTCTTTGTCCCCTTTGAACTGAGATGGATCGTAAGTGACCTCCGCCGCCACCGACGGAGAGTATTTCCGGATTTCATAGTCAGGTGAGGACTGAACCACCTCGTATTTAGGGGTTTCCACGCTGATCTTCCCAAAAACCATACCCATCTTGGAAATTCAATTCCAATCCAGAAAGACCCAAGATTTACTGAGAATAAGTTATATAAGTAGACAGGGTAAGGAAAGGAGAAGAGACTGGAACTTATTTCTGGAACCTGGATTTTTCATGGGTAAAGCCAAAGCTCTTATGTCATTTCTGTTGCTTGGGAACGGAGTTACTCTTTTCTTGTGGTGGGGATTTGGATATACATTTGTGGACTTCATTTATCCACGACTCATACAAAATTCTTTTAAGCACCGATGGAATAATGAATAAAAGATGACATGAGCAAATTAGGAAAAGGAAAAATGGAGAGAAAATGAAGACATGCAATTTAATTTTAAAAACGGAAATTATGAGGATAATTTTTTTTAATAAAATTAAATGACAGTCTCTCTGTGAAGTTTGTGTGATGTATTGATTATTATTTATTTTATTTTAAATAATTTTTATATTTTAAATTAAAAATTTTTAAAAATTCATATATTTACATGAATTATTTTTAAAGAATAAAAAATAGAGATATATTTTTAATAATCTAATTAATTAAAATAAATAATAATATAGTTAAATAAAAAATATTTATTTATCTAAAAATATAAAAATGATAAAATTAAAATAAAAAACAGTTTTTTGAAACAAAAAGGATAGAAGTTTGAGCAATAAGAATAACTGAAAACATGAGTGGGGCAAAAAAAAAATGTAAGAAAATAGATGTGTATTTGTCAATGTATAAGAGAATGTTAATGTTAGTCTAGATTAGAAATCAATTTTTATGAGAATAATTCATCCTAAATGTTTTAAAAAGGTAAAATTAAATTAAAATTTTTCTTTATTTTTTTTTCCAAAAAATAAAAGTCCAATTAAGATGCTTCCTAAACTGCCTATTAAAAAACACAAAAAGGATTATCGAAAAAAACACACACACACACACACACACAAGGAAGAGAGAAAACGAAAGAAATGGAAATTTCTTAATTTGCCCTTGAACGAACTTAGGGTGTGTTTGGTGCAGTTTCCCGACTGCTTCACCTTTTTGATACTATTCGTATATCAAAAATTTAAATTTTTTTTTAAAAATTTATATTTTAAAATTATTTTTTACTTTTAAAAAGATCATAAACAGTAAAATATCAAAAACTTTAAATTCAAATTTTTCATAAATTTCCTTTTTATTCATTTTTTTTATTTTTAAAATCAATTTTTAAATTTTTTTCTCGAATAAAAATTTAAACTTACCACTCATAAACAATATTTTAAAAGTAAAAACTCTAACAAATTACACCAAACAAGCCCTTAATTAACCTTATCCTTGTGCGCGGGAGGAAGGTCAACCTATCCCTAAGATGCAAGCCAATCAGATTCTCAACGCAGCCCTGTTTCCAAACAGTCAGTGACAACGTTAGCTTTCATCACCTTCTAACTGGAGTACGCCGGAAGCCACCGTCGTCTAGGGTCCAATTCCTCGAATTCGTTCGGCTCTGATTTCCTTGATGCAGGAGTTTCTTACTACAGAATTTCAGCTACCCTTGGTCTAAGCAGAATTTTCAGAAGCTAAAATTTAGATTTTAGATGTTTTTATTATCTGCTCTCTCTGAATTAGATGAAAATTTTCCCTGGCTTGTTAACGTTAAATGAGCATCTGCGATGAGTTAATCAAATTGTTATCTTTGCACTTTGATTGTTTGCAATGAAATAAAAAAAAAAAACATGTTCTCATGAAATGCTGAATTGGTTTATGAAACATAATTTAATACGGTTTAAACTATATAATAATTTTGATATAATTGTAAAATTAAATATGATTGGGTGAAGGTTAATTCAAATTTAGTATTGAAATTGGCTTTTTGAATTGGGAGAACAACAATTGAGCTTTGCAGGTGTTGCACATGGGGCAATGGAAGTGACAATAATGACCAATTGAGCTCTGCTTCTAGTATACCAGCCTTTTTTTCAATTTGAAGGGCAACAATTGAACTTGGCAGGTGGCTCACATGAAGCAATGGAAGTGGCAATCATGACCAATTGAGCTCTGCTTAGTACACCACACCAGCCTTGCCTTTTAGCTGTATCCACTTCCATGTTCCTGTTGCAGAATTCACATGATGCTTAAGCTGGAATGAACTGATTCTATTTTGACCAGATATTGGTTCTTGTGCCCCTAATGAGCTTTTAAATTGAGCCAAATCCATTACCATGTGCATCATTTATAATTTAATGTTAAGCAATGCATTCCTTATTCAACTAAACAAGCAAAGTATTCTTTTTTTGCCCTTGATTGGTTCAGCTTCTATATTAATACTCGTAAGTTATAGCCCAATTTTCACAATCAGACTGAAAATTTTCTTTTTACTCTCTTCTTATGAATTTCATTTACAAACTAAACTTTTGTTTTATGTATGCCATTACTTCCTCTTCCCGAAATGTCAACAAAGGCTTCTGATTCCTTACTCAGATGATTCGACAGAGGAAACTCCAAAATATGAAATAGCCGGAAATAAATAAAGTGAGTTTACAGAGAGGGGGAACCGTTTACCCATTATTTATTTTGAATGGAATGTTGTCTTCATTTACAATTGACTCTCTTACTTTTTTTTGAACATATTTTGCAAGGTGCGGGTTTTGAACTTTGCCCGGAGAGGGAAGGAATGCACCAATAGCTAATGTCACTAAACCTCAAGGGCCAAGTGCAATTGACTCTCTTACTTAAGTTTACTTATAATAAAAATGTCAATAAAATTTTGTTTTTATTGAATCTTATAAGAGAATTATATTTTATAATTAAATTATATTGATAAAAAAAACTTTTAATTTCAAGAAACTCACTTTTCATTTCATCTAAGTGTTTTAATTTTATAATTTAAATTATATAATAAATTTTTAATCTTATAATAATTAATAAATGATGGATTCCACGGAGTTAGCCCTCATAACTCCCAACATACCAAAAATAAATATTGCTCTTTAAGCTCCTTGTACTGTGTACATAGACAACTAATTTACCTAAATGGCAGTAATTAAAAAGGGCATCCAGCTGTTGCCCCTAATTTTGAAATTCAAAACAAAGCCAATTCCAAACCGATCCAGCTCAATCATAGCCGTTCCTTTACTGCCCTGTTTGAATAAACACCACTCATCCTCCACCCCACCCATTTTGAAATGGTTAAATACCTTTTTTGGTTTCTTTACTATTGAAAAAAGTCTCTTTTGATCTTTATATTAAAAAAATCTCCCTTTTGATCTCTAAAGTTTGAAATCCGATCTTTATTTAATCAATTCGTCAATTAAGTAACAGCATGACATAATAATCTATTAAGTATTTTTGTTTTTCTTTTTTGTTTTTTTAGTGGTGATGTGTGATTACACGTTAATCAATGTGGTCCAAAAAAAGACATGAAAATGTCATGTGGGAAAATTTGATGATGTAGGCCAAAAAAAATTTTTTTTTCTCCACAAAAAAACTTGGAAATACAATACTAATAAAAATGATAATATGAATAAGAAAAAATATTAAATTATCATAATAATTTTACTAAAATCATTTAATATGTAGTATTTATTTTTTTATTGTTCAAACATAAATAAAATAAAATATTATATTATTGTAATAATTTTTGTAGATTCATTTAATATGTAATATTTAATTATTTATTTCCTTTAATCAAATTTACTAGTTTTAATTTATTTTTTACTGTTTACATATAAATTAGATAAAAT